AATTCTGTTCACTTTACTCAACTTGAAATCAAAAATTGACATTTTTCACTCTATTAATACATGTTGTCATTGTCAAAATTTTGTCATGCATGGTGCATGTTATTCATTTCACACATATTTTTAATGGGATAAAATAAAAATAAATGTAATAAATATAATAATAATAATAATAATAAACTTGGACACAAAATTGTTTATCTCAAACAACTTTTCTTTTTCACTAACTTTACTTTTTCATTAAGTTAAATGCTGCTTCCTGTTCTCAAGTACCGCATACAGCTATATATTGTAGTGTTATTTTAGTATCAATGAGATACTATTATAGTTTTTATCAATGATTTGAATCCATTTTTAGTTTTACATTTTCATTTTACTTAGGATGGAGGGGTTTGTGTGTGTGTGTGTGTGAGTGAGTGAGTGTGTGTGTGTGTGTGTGTGTGTGTGTGTGAAGGATACTGACAGCTGATGGATTCCCCAAGTGTTCAAATGCTTCTCTAAACATGTGTCTTCCTAATCTACATTAAAACAAAGCAAAAAACAGACAGAATTCTCTGCAAAGTACATTTAACCCCTAAGCTATGCTATGAAATCCCTTTATGCTAATTCATGTTTTGAAAAACTGCTAACACGCCATTACAAACTTTTACAAAAAGGTCTTTTAGAACTCCACATCAGTACATGAGTGCCTCCTGAATTTAATTTCCTCCTTGACTAACAAGGTAAGAATGATTTCAGAGAACATAACGGTTCACATGGTGCTTTTTCCCTGGCGGCCCACCGCACAATAGCTGCTTTGTGGAGTACGAGAGCAAACCCTTCCTCACAGGAATGTGAGGCATGCAGGCCCAAATCGTCGAGGTTAGAAATATGATCCTGCTGGCAATAGTTGACCAGCTTTAAGGAGTGGGTCTGAGAGAGCCTGTCCCAGCAGGAGCCCCCTTGAAATGATCCCGGGAACGTTTTGTTTTCGGGGGTCAGCTGATAATGAGGTCTCCCCTTGCTGATAATAGTCAAGGGTTGGATTAAGGAGGTTGGATAGCAACGTCTTAGTTCAGGACTTTGAAGTGACATGCAATAGTTGAATGATAATTATTTACAAAATAATTGAATAATTTGAATGTACAAACAAGATTAAGAAGTCATGTATTGGCAAACACTTTACATAGATTAATTTATAATTTAAATTATAAAAAGAAACTAGATTTGACATATTGCAAAGAAGAGTGGTACTTTTCCTGTGCAAAACTTGGCCATGGAAGTGTTATCTTATTGGCCAAAGTCCAAAGAGCCCACCCATAAATCTCTAAGATATTCTACTAGTAGCGATTCCTGACCATAAATGGCCACTTTTCAAGATCCAATCAAATTTCAAGCCACACATTTCATTATTTCCCCATTCACTAGCTTGTTTCAGTTTAAAATACATCACATTGTAGGGTTTAAAGCATTACTTTTCTGTAAGGAAATATCTATTCCAGCTTTCAGCCCACAACCTCAGCAATCTGATCAAGAAGTCTGATAGAAATTTCAGCTGCAAACAAGTGACATCTTAGAAGGTCATCCTATCAAACTTGCCAATTCAAAGACACCATCCAATCGAACTATGTCATGACAGCATATCCGTCACCAGCCCTAGGGGAGCAAGGAGATAGGACGCTTGAGGAAAAATGGACTGAATTTGGCGCTATAATTATCTGGAACGATATGCTTATTGTAAAACTTACAACTCACAAAGGAACAAAAAGATCCCAAAGCAGAGTGTGCGTATATTGATTGATCATGGTCTGACTGGTGGATAAGGAACCTTTTGAGACAGGCATGTCAAGATCCTGGCTTCACATCTGCAGGGGGTTTCTGGTCAATAAGTGTCTGGAAGAGTGGAGCTGGGGGAAGGGGTATAATTCCATGGAGGATCGGCTATTAGGGGATATACACACACATGCTCATGGCAATCGAAAAGATCAGAGAGCATGCGGGCTCTTGTCTCCGGTAGGGTCTTATCCTGACACTTGGCCTCTTGTGTATCACATAATACACAATACATGCACATACACGCTTGGGTTTCAGATTTAGAAGGACTTACTAAGCCCTAGAATCAATATACATGAGAAAAGCCTAATGAAACATTCATGCAGCAGAATGGCAACGGCACTTTGACATTGGAATAATGACCAAAGTTTTTCATTGGCATGAGTGGGAATCATTCTAACAAATGCAACAATGGGCAACAGTCCTAAAAAAGATGTTACGCAAGACTTGAGCTCAATCTAAAGTAAAACAAACAATTGTATTCCCCTCTTTTGTATCAGACACAAAGAGTCTTGGTCGTACCCTTTTGGAAGCAAACTGTTTAAATTCCAAATTGTACGCATGTACTCTACTGTATCAATGGGTTCCATGGCCGACCAGTGACTAATGCTGCCAGCTGAATGGTGAATGGGGTCGTGACTCAACAGCTGATTGGTGGACAATGACAGGAGCAGCCAGCCTCTTGGTTGATGGGGGTGGCAGCTGTTGCAAATAAAGCAGCACAAAGAAGAGATGCCAAGAAACTATCCATTCGGGCAATTCTGGGAGCAACCCCCGGACTGTTCAGAAACACTCGAGGCAAAGAATTTAAGATTGTTCAAGGGCAAATAACCAAGGTTTCCTAGTTCGCATGTCTCTTTCTCTCATTATCTGGAATGTGCTCAGGTGTGTTCTGAACTTGTTAAATCCTAGACTTAGGCATTTGAGAGGAAAGACCGCACACACACTGGGGAGACCTTGGAGCCTGGCTCTGACACAATAACTTACACTGTAATGAACAGCAGGCTGGAAGCCCACAGCCTGACACAAGCAACTAACTACATATCCAACCGCCAGCATCAGACGGGCGGTCCTGCCCGCAGACGCCCACCGCAGACATCTGTCAGCCAAACACACTCCTGTACCTACATCATGAACCAAACTGAACCACCGTGCATTGAATTATCATCAGATATAGCTTTAGTTTGAATTTGAAATGGCTCTAGATTGAGGAAATGATTCTGGATTTAGGCAATAACTCTAGATTTAGCACTTCCCTGTTGAAAAATCCAGCATATGCTGCTTAGGTATGTTTTAAAGCCTGGCTGCTGGTTTGAGCTGGTCATCGGCTGGTTTAAGCTGGTCCTTAGCTGGTCATCGGCTGGTTTAAGCTAGTCCTAAACTGGCCATACGCTGGTTTAAGCTGGTTCTTAGCTGGTCATGTGTCATGCTTCAAAACATACCTAACCAGCATATGCCGTTTTTTTCAACAGGGTTGGCTCAAAATTTAGGCAAGTACTTCCAGACTCTGATTCAGGAAATTAATCCAGATTGAGCACATGACTCCAAATGTTGGAATTTTCTTTCAGGATTATAGCACCACCTCTAGTTTTAGGGAACAGCTCAAAAATTTAACACCTGGATTTATGATACAGGTTCACATTTAGGACGATTCATATTCAGAAAAGTCTATATTGAGAAAATGGGAGATTTGACTCTACATTAGCTCAGTTCTCTAGATCTAGGACTGATTCTACCATGCAGAAAAAAAAACCTAGCAAAATGTCCTTTTTTGGCAATGTCTGGATTGGTGCTGGTCTAGCTAATGTACCAGCATGGCCATGCTGTTCACAAGTATCAAGTTTTGCTGGTTAAGCTAGTTAAGACGCCTAGACCTCCAGAATACCAGCATTTGAAACCAACATAAGCTAGTGACCAGATGTGCTAGCCTTTCAGCAGGTCAAATTAGCACATGGTTCTTGATTTAGGAAATTACTCTAGATTCTAGAAGAAATGGATCCAGATTGAGAATTTAAGAAATTACTTTAGATTTGCAAACCCTGCTGAAAATACCAGCTTAGCTGATTTGGTGTTGGTCTAACTGGTCAGGCTGCAAAACATAGCTGGTAAAGTTGATCAGACATCATACTCTAGCTTGATGGCTTAACATATAATGGTGAAGGAAATATTTAGCACACAGCTTTAGATTTCAGACCACACACAGCACCAAACAACCCAAACCCCCAGGTTCAGGTCTGAATGCAGTTTACCCCAGATCATAGCTAAGCTCCAAACAGGCCACCGTCTAAAGCAGTCTGTCATGCTGGATGCTTTACAGGGCCTGTGATTACCTCCAGACAGCAGGTCTGATCTCTCCTGGGTGATCCGAGCGCGAACTCTGGAAACGTACCAATACCCTACATTCAGACAGAGTGAGCCAAGACCCCACTCTCATTTGCCTGTGTGGTCACGGCTGTTTGGTTTTGTTAAACGTGTGAATTGCAGCACGGCCCCAGCTGTGGCAACAGTTTCGGTTTCATTTGTTTATCCAAAACATCACTTACAGCAACGTTCCCTGTGATGCCATCCTAACATTCCTTTAAAGTGAGGTGTCCGGGGATCATATTCCACAGATGGGTGGAGTGTGTGAGAGTGTATTAGCAGGGTGTGTGTGTGTGTGTGTGTGTGTGTGGGTGTGTGTGTGTGTGTGTGTGTGTGCTCTCGTACTGACTCAACAACCGAGAATCGCTCAACCGCTCAGAAAATGAAAGAAAAGCTATTAAACAAACCCAGATTTTCCTTCAGGCATAAACGTAAGCACTAGCAATCACATCATTACCCTGCACAACACACTGATGCATCAAAATAATGAAATGTCCATTGGATTTATGAAGAATGACAACAAGTCTGGACATGTTTTGGACCAATAGCATGTAAATGAACTAAACTCACATAAAAGATATTAAATTAAGAGCAAAAATCACTGCATAGGTCAAACTCTAAATATATATAATTTGTAACAAAGCCTGCATTTACTGACTTCATTGTATATTAACAGGCACAATGTTCACAACATTACACATTATATAGTGCATATAGTATATTTACTCTGCATATCAATTAAACTATTTATAGCTACTGAAGGGAGTCCGCAAATTATTTTTTTGATCTCAAACACATTTTTATAATTATATATTAATTTATACAACTCCAGCCAAAACTAAAGAAGCTAAAGTTCAGCATTAATACAATGATATGGGAAAACGCATATAGCAGTATAGACCAAGCTTAACATGCAGCACTCAGTTTTATAAAATATGTAACAAGGAGTCCAAGTTCTGGCTCTCTATCCAGCCCCAACGGGTAATAGAAATGTTGAAGACCCCATACTATAGTATATATTTAGTGTATACGCAAAAGATTTGCACTATAAAAAGCAATTAAAACTAAAAGATCCAGATGCATGTAGTACAAATACATAATTTGAGACTCACCTGAGGTGTCCCACAGGCTGAGCTCTATTCTTTGCTTGTCAATCTCAAAACTTGCTGTGTAATTCTCAAACACAGTGGGTACGTAATTCTAGGGGAAAGACACATGAAAGACAATTGCAAATATTACTAAACAGGTCTATTTTAAGAGATTAAAATGTAAAAATGAATGCACATGCTACAGAACTATAGCCAATATCGTAAAGCGCAGTTGCGCATCCACTGGGTTTTACGCATCTCACCTCTGGGAAACAGTCCTTGGCAAAAACGTGGAGCAGAGCGGTTTTCCCACACTGACTGTCCCCCACGACCACGATCTTACATTTGAGGCTCTGACTCGGATCCATACCGGGCTGAAGGGACAGTTTCTGTAGAGATCTTCTCTCCTTCATTGATTGTCTTTACGCGCAAGTCCGCGGAGGCGCACAACGGAGAAGACGCGCACAAACGCACAGCTTTCTATAATCACTCTGGAACTGCTTGAATTCCAGCCCTCTCACTTTTGGGATATGTGCTGTGTTTTATATGAGCCCGGTGAACCAATGGCTGTCCTTGAAGACACCCAGAGATCCTCCCCTTTCCTTCAGTAGGGAGAGGGAAAGAGCGCACCCTACAGACCTTAATAAATATGACTTTGCTTGTAGCGCTATGAAACTCTAAGTTCCAATTAAATAAATGAATAAATAAACCCTTAATAAACTTTAATAGGTCTACATTTTAAATACAAATACTGTATATTATGAAATATGGCTTTATTTATCACTTTAGATGGTATTTTATACCACAAACATTTCAAATGCGTGAAATCTATAATACAGTATGGGTTGTTTACAGCAAATCTTGTCCAGAAGTTCTGCACTGTCACAAAATATTTTTCAAATACTCCATGTACTTTCTCTCTCAATAAAATAATTACAAAAATAATAAATAATGTAATAACAAAAATGTTTTGTTTTTTTATATGTAGGCTAGTATTGCATGCCATCTGCCCGGTTTTCAGATTTGTTCAGCTGTGATTTGAATGTGAAGAAATCAATTATAAATTGATCACAGGAGCAGGTGTATGTTTAAATGAGGCACAAACACACAGACAGAAAACTGATCTAATAATCATATCATGTTGGCTGTAGAGCAGTTACCCAGGTGTGGAGGCGCTGGAGCAGAAACAGGCCTTCTGGAAGACATGGAGTCAGCGGATATTTATCTGCTACATATTTGTAACACATTCATTCCATCAGCATGTCATCAGCTCTTACAGTAGATGCTGTGAATGTGTGTCAGACCAAGAGAGAGAAAAAGAGAGAGAGATTACTAGCAGAAAAAAGTACCAAAAAGTACCATGGTACTACCATGTTTGTTTGGACATGAGCCATGGTAATACCATGATGCACTGGCAGACTAGAATTTTTGGGTAACATTCAGACAGACAGAACGATGCATAAAACAATAGACAGAATGATAGAACGATAGATACATAGATAGATAGATAGATAGATAGATAGATAGATAGATAGATAAAGACAGGTAAAGATAGAACAATAGCATGATAAATAGATAGACAGAATGATAGAATGATATAATGACAGAACAATAGATAGAACGATAGAATGATAGATAGAATGATAGAACAACAGAACAATAGATAGATAGATAGATAGACAGATAGAGACAGGTAAAGATAGAACGATAGTACGATAAATAGATAGACAGCCAGAATGATAGAATGTTAGATAGATAGATAGATAGATAGATAGATAGATAGATAGATAGATAGATAGATAGATAAGACAGGTAAAGATAGAACAATAGCATGATAAATAGATAGACAATGATAGAATGACAGAACAATAGATAGAACGATAGAATGATAGATAGAATGATAGAATGACAGAACAATAGATAGATAGATAGATAGATAGATAAATAGATAGACACAGGTAAAGATAGAACGATACCACGATAAATAGATAGACAGACCGAAGGATAGAACGTTAGATTGATAGAATGATAGATAGAACTATAGAACGATAGAACAATAGAAAGATAGATAGATAGATAGATAGATAGATAGATAGAATGATCAATAGTATGATAGATAGACTTAAGAACAACTAATATAACAGCAGATGAATTGATAGAATGAAAGACAACCAGACAGAAATATAGATAGATGGTATGACAGACAGATAACTGTTTTTCTGTTGTCTTCAGTTTATAGATATAATTTATTCTCTGTGCAGATACACAGCCAGTATAACAAGATCAGCTCTGAGAATCTGCTCAACCACAGCCCCACACAAACCCCCGAGGCCTGATGATGTAGCTTCTGATTCCTCTGTGTGTGTGTCGAGGGAAGGTCATTGTATATTGACACACACATTCTTTCAATTTTGTTCTGTGAAATGAGAACAAATATTGACCCAGTGTATTGCTAATAATTTGAAATCTACCTTGCTCCTGTATCCAATGGTTACCGTATGAAACCCCTCGTCACACAGCTGTAACATCTCGCGTCACTCTGTGAGATGAAGCAGCGTGATCTGACCTGTCTCAACATATCAGAGCTAAAAGATTATTATATGCGTCAGCAATGACGCTAATTAAAATCATGGATTTGGGAGTCTAACGAATGCACTTACGCACTCGGTAATGCCATGGCCACATGTTCTTCCTGCAGGTCAAAGGTCAAAGTCTGAGAGAGCTGAAATAAATCCACTTAGCCATCCTAGCTGAAACACACATAAAACAATGTACATTTGAACAAAACACAGACTATTCTAACCACATTATAATCCTGTGTCGTTATTATTATCAAATAAGGTTGATTAGATGAAGATAATAGTGTATTTTAATATTTTTTTAGTATAGAATGAATCTCTTTTCTTTAGGAAATATGAGTGATGCTAACCCAACGCAAAACTTACCGCCACAATGCTAATGTGTTATGAGTTCTTTCTAGGGTGTGGCTATGTGATTGCCAGGGCGTTGTCAACTCATTCTGGGTGTTTGCTAGGTGACTATACTAACCAAACTCAGAAGAGACTGCTAACGCTAAGTATTAGCAATAGTAATAGTGAAGCTTGCCTTAGCAAAACACAAATAGAATATTCAATCAATGCTATAATACTGAACAATTAGCGCAATTTAAATTTAATGGTTAAACAATTCCTGTGTGTTGACATCTTTATTCTAATCAATTTAATTTCAAATTAATATTTGTATTAGTAAAAGGTTGATTATGATATCAGTGCATTTTAATATTTTTGTGTACAGAAAACTTTAAAATCTGAAATGTTAGCGATGCTAACCTCTCCAAAACTTGTCGCCACAATGTTAACATGTTTTGAGCAAGTTTGCGCGCAAGTTCAAGATCATTTGCGATTCATAGATTTCACATCTGAAAGAGACGCATATGTGCATGTTCTGTACGTACGTTCATTCTATGAATCACACGTACGCATATTTGAGAGATGATCGTAAAATCAAATTTAGGATGGTTTCTGCGCAACATTTTATAAATGAGGCCCTAGGTGTTTTTAGGTGGTTGTTTACTAGCCAAACTAATGCAAGATTGCTAATGCTAAGTATTATAACATTTATATTTGTATTAGTATCAAAAAGATTGTTTAAATATCAGTATATTTTAATATCTTTGTGTACTGAAAACTTTTAAAGGCACAATATGTAAGATTTTTTAATTAAAATATCCAAAAACTACTAGAGCAGTTATATATTTTGCTGACTTGTGCACTTACATTATCCCAAATGTTTGAAGAATGTTTAAATCCAGAGAAATAAGCCATTTTAACTAGTGACATCCATAGCGTCGCCCGCCAATGATGTCATAACCCCTCGATTTCCGGTTTTGTTTTGTAGAAAACATGGAAACACCAAAGATGCTTTAATATGTTGTGCGTTTTATTAGACCGGTGACGACCGCACAGAGTAGCATTATAACAGAACTTTCAAATGTATCTAGTATGATAAAACAGCGCTGCTTTTTTTCCCCACATACGCACGACCGGAAGGAGCGGAAGCGGTCGACTGTGGCATAATAAAAGCTCCGCTGCTTTCGAGTCGTGTATCACACTCGTTCAGCGGCCTCGTTTCGCTTCGACGGCTTTCAGCCTCACCCTGCTTCATTCTACTACGTTAATAAATCATTAGCTCATCCATGAACATGATTTCTGCCTGAGTCCCGTCGGATTGCATCGGCTGTGGGGATGAAGACGACAACTCCCATGATTCCACACTCAGTCACGGCGTCATCAAACTACGCCTTTGTTTCTTTGTTTGTTTTGAATACGCGCCCTCTAGCGGCGAAAAATTACATATTGTGCCTTTAAATCTTCTCTTACGGTGCATACGGTGACGCTTCTCATTTACTTGGAATGGGTGATGTCATGCATTGCCGAACTGAATTGTGGATCCGTTGTGTTGCGCCGCTGGCGTTGCTCACATCAGAAGTTGAAACGGTACATTCACACGGGGTGTCGGCATCGACGCTTGATGGAGGGCTTGTCTGAAACTTGGTGCTGATGCGACCGTAGTGACAACAGCCAATCACATTCATTTTCTGGTGTTGCATGAACACGATTGGCTAGTGTCTGCACCAGGGTATTTGCATAAGGCTATTTGATTGGCTGACGCCTGCGTTGGCGCTTGAAAAATGTTCAACTTCAACTGGCCGTAAGCAACGCCAGTGACGCGACGCAACAGACCCACAATTCAGTTCGGCAATGCTTGACGTCACTCCATTCAAAGTAAACGAGAGGCTTTGACGCCGACACCTTGTGTGAATGTACCGAAAACTTTCAACTTTTCAAGAGCCAATGCAGGCGTCAGCCAATCAGATCGCCTTATGCAAATACCCTGGTGCAGACGCTAGCCAATCGCGTTCATGCAACACCAGAAAACTAATATGATTGGCTGTTGTCACTATGGTCACGTCAGCACCAAGTTTCAGACACGCCCTCCATCAAGCGTTGATGCCGACGCCCGTGTGAATGTACCGTTAAGGAAATGCTAACGATGCTAACCTCTTCAAAAACTATCCACCTCAATGCTAACATGTTCTGAGTGGTTGAAGGCCTGGATGGTTGCCTGGGCATTCTGGGTATTTTATAGGTGGTTGTTTAATAGCCAAACTAATAAGAGACTGCTAAGTATTAGCAATAATAGTGAAGCTTGCATTAATAAAAAAAAAAAAAAAAAAGCCTGATTATTCAAAAACATAATACTGACCAATTAGTGCAATTAGCAGTTGATTAAACACAGAAGCTTGCATTAATAAAAAAAAAAAAAAAAAGCCTGATTATTCAAACAACATAATACTGACCAATTAGTGCAATTAGCAGTTGATTAAACACAACTCCCCTTTAACGTATTTGTATTAGTATCAAAATATTAAGATGTCAGTGCATTTTAATATTTTTGTGTACAGAAAACATTCAAATCTTTTCTTAACAAAATGCTAGCAATGCTAACCTCTGCAAAACGCCACAATGCTAACATGTTCTGAGTGATTGAGGTGCTCTGGGTATTATAGATGGTTGTTTACAAACAAAACTAATGTGGGACTGTTAACGCTAAATATTAGTAATAATAATAATAAAGCTTAGCAAAACACAAATAACACTATAATACTGAACAATTAGCGCAAATAGCAGTTAATGATTAAACACGACTGCTGTGTGGTTGACATCTTAATTATATTTGTATTAGTATTAAATAAGATATCAGTGCATTTTTTTTTTTAAATGTGTACAGAAAATTTTCAAATCTTTTCTTAAGGAAATGTTAGCGACACTAAGTGCTAACATGTTCAGAGGGGTTGCTAGGGTGTTGCTAATTGGCTGATAACTAGGTAAACTAACAAGAGTCTGCTAATGCTAAGTATTAGCGATAGCGATAAGCTTGAATGATTTCGTTGTGACAGACTGCCCAATTTAAACACCCTTCTGATGGTTTTATCACAGTAAGCGACTTAACAAACCCGTCTCATACTGTTATTTGTTTGTTTACGCAGCATTTTCATTGACTCGTGTTTAGTGATAATGGTTGATTATCGTGGTGAAGCGGTGACACAGACTGACTGTAAAATGGCCCTTTTCTTCTTAAATTGCTTTCTGCTTCACAGATCTTTCTGTCAATAGTCGTTAAGGCAGAAAGCACCCTGACATTTTCCTCCGGCTAGCGCTGCTCGAATCCTACTCGCTTTAAACCCAAGATTAATTTTCCTTGAGTGGAGGTGACTGCGAGAGAGAGCGCAAATGAGATCAGGAACTGAGATGAGGTAGTACATTTCAAACATAAATCAGCAAGCAACAAGTTGACATACAACTGGAGAATGAAATGGAGAATTGTGGGAAACATGTTGCCATTTGACATTTCCCCTGAGCAAGACCTCCAAAACTGTCTTTCACACACACACACTTGTTGGGGCCGGTCAACTTTAAAAGGTGTCGGCTTGCACTGGGAATGGGAAACACATCTTATGTATCACTTCAGAGGGTTGTAGTGGGCCGTCCAGTCGTCCAAACGGACAGAACTAGTAGTGAAATATGAAATGAAAGCTGACACCATTTACGTTGTAAATAAAGGCTGCTATCTATAAATAAATGAAAACGTAAATAAATGCTTATATATAATTAAATATAATTAAAATATAATTCTTAAATATCATTTTTAGTGTGTGAGATGTAAAATTAATTCTTAATACAGTCTGAAACGTACAGAATTAGTGAAACATGAAATTAAAATTGACACCATTTATGTTCTAAATAAATGCTGCTGTCTTTGGATTAATCTGTTCTTAAGATTTGTTTTTCTAAATAATCTTTAGTGTGTAATTGTCAGGGATTCATCACAGTCACTTCAGTCACCATCCAGGATAATTACCCGATCACAGTCACCTGAGTTCTGATCACCCGCACCTGCTGTCACCAATCAAGCCACACTACATATACACACACAGCACAGTCACTCACTGTCCGGTCTACCGTTCACTCCTACGAACTTCTCTGGACTCTCTCTGCCAATATATATATATATATATATATATATATATATAATGTTTTTTTAATCTAAAGAATTTTTAGTGTGAGTAATAAAATTATTACTATAATTTTATAAACTACTTTTATAAGACTACTTTTATAAAACTATAAAATTATTACTATAATAACAAAAATAAATTATAAATATAATAAAAGAGGAAATCCAATTAATAAAATAAAAAATATATCTATCTATCTGTAAACAAATCCTTTTAAATCATAACTAAAATTACTTAATTAAAAAAATATATATGTAAAATGCGATAGTGTGAGAGTAATAATATTAATAATACATGGCATTAAATAATATTATAAACTTAATATTAATGCTTTATATATGAATAATAACCCCTTTATTATGAATAAATGAAATGAATTAAAACATACTAGGTATTTACATTTTATTATAGAATATCATATTTTATCTATCTATAGGAAATGTATTACTTTGAGCTAATAAATACATTTTTAGTGAAAATTTCTAAAATATTATTTATAATAATAAAAAAATTGTAACATTAAATAATACACTATAAGCTTATTTTTAAACAATAAATAAATCATAATTATTAATTAATTTAAATTACCATTAAACCCACAAGTGTAGACATCTGCT